ACGACGATTGGCTGGGATACGCTTAAGTCCACTGTAGCATTGTGCGGCTGTGGCAGACCGTCAAATGAGAAAGCAACATCCGAATAGACGAATGATTAATTAGACGCTACTCTAGTGAACTAATAACGCGCAACGATCATTGAGTTCTAGAAGCATGAATCGCATAAAGAACGAGCGCAAAGCAAATAAATGTGACTGAGGTTATACGCCAGCTAAAGAGTGTCAACCGATGAATAGACAACAAAGAAATATTGTACGTATTTTATGAATAACCACAAATCTTCTTAATAATGAGCTGTGCTCCCGGCCGCGGTATCCTTCCTGTTTCTTGGAGGACAACAATACATGGTATCCATGCTTGGACCAACACTTAAATCTGTTCATCAACAATCTCCCGACGGCACTTCAGATCGAATGCTTGATCTAGACCGACGAAATCAAGCTACGGTCACTAGTATCCACACTTGTGGAGGTGTACAGATTACAGGGGATTTAGATCAGCTACACCAGTGTTTTATCAAGTAGCAACCGCCAGTAAACCGAGATAAATGTGTTATTCTTCCAATTCGTGACACCAATCAGTACGGTGCATCCCAGGTTAACGGGTTTCTCTTCAGGAATATTACTGATGAAAGTGAGCTTTAAAATTAGCATGGCTGCTGACTTTAGAACATCACTGGACAGGTTAAAGAAGGTGATCAGTAAACGGAGACCGGTAGGTGCTTAATAAGATAAATTGCTTGCAGAACTTCGGAGACTTTTGACCTCAGTTCGCTTCATACATCCGTCCTAATTTATTACATAGCCTAACAGCTTCCAATCAGCTTTCAAAGTTTGTATGTGCTCTACTGGAAACGATTCAAAGGCGTGCTTCGAAATTTCTTCCGGAGCTTCGTAATCTACCATACTCCATAAGACGTCAGCACATAAACTTGCTTAGCTTGTAGTTCCGCCGATGGCGGAGTGACCTCATATACAACAGACGCTAGCTTCGAGGATAACTCTGAATTGAGTTACTAAAGTTCTTCCGGCCCAACCGCGACTGTTCCAAAAAAGTTCACACGTGTAAATGTTTAAACAAAGAAAACGCTGAGTTGGATGCTCGACCGCCAAGTCTTTCTTGAACGAATGGTCCCCACGTTGTTCGCTGAGCGTGACCAAAGAATAAACCTAATCTCTGCTTTTTGCTTTGGCAGAAAACAAGAGGACCCAGCCAAGTTTCGTTCTCAGAAAATCGTCTGTTAGGAAGAAGAAGAATGCCAACGCATCCTGAGACGGACCCCGCTCCTCAAGGGAAAAATCTTCTACGTTCTGAAAGACATCTCCCCGGAGGACCGAGTGCAAATGAGGCAAGCTGTCTGCGAGCTGCAAACACGACGCGCAAATGGAGAAACAGATCTACATATAGTGGATGTTTGCGTAGTCAAAAGAACTCAGAGAGCTCGATGGAGACCAATTCTCCTTCTTCCAGGACCTCAAACATAAAGAACGGACTACGGGTAATACTCGCGAATGTGCGCAGTCTCAGAAACAAGATAGATGAGATTCCACTTCTTATCTCTGAACAGCAACCGGATCTAATGGCGTTCACCGAAACCTGGCTGTTATCTGATATATCTGATTCGGAGGTTCATATCTCATGATATCAGCTACTTCGCTTCCATCGCCTTGGTGGGAGGTCTGGAGGCGGAGTAATCCTCTACGCGAAGAACCCCCTCAAAGCCCACATTGCCGAACCCGAGTGTGACAAGCATGATATGTCGGAAATGCTCTGGTGTCGAATTCATGACGGATACCCATCGCTGATTGTCGGCCTGGTCTACAGAGCCCCTGCAGCATCTGGCTCACACCTATTACGTTCCGTGTGAACCCACAGCAGAGGAATAAACTGTCTCCTTATGGGTGACTTCAACGCCCCCGACATAATCTGGGACCTTCTTTACAGTGATCTCTCACCTGACTCCTTTGAAAATGATATCCTTGATACCGTTCACGAGTGCAACCTGACAGAGCATTTCTTGACACCAATGCGGATAGTCCCTGGTCAGACACCAAACATTCTTGACCTGGTTCGCACTTCGGCACCATCTGTTGTTTCAGGTCTAACGATCCTTTAACCTCTTGGGAAGAGTGATCACTGTACAGTCTCCATTTCGTGGACACGACGCCTCACAATCCACGATCAGGGGACACTGCGTCGAAATTTCTGGCGCACTGACCAGCCCAGATTAAGAAGGACTGCAAGTAACATGGACTAGAGTATTCCATAAATCTTTGAGCGTGATGACGCATGGGAACGCCTGTGACCTATGATGATGCGGCTCACTGAATAGTTTGTTCCAAACTGCAAGAGCAGACCACTATCCAAAGAATCCCCATGGATTGATAAGGAAGTAAAATCCATAATGAGAAACGACGAAATCTATGGGATCATTTCAAGTGCACAGGACCGACATCAAGCTACTTAGAGTACAAAACTGTCAGAAACATATGCATCCTGAGAAAACGAGACGAAAAACTACGATATGAACCTGGACTGGCCATGGAATCCCAAAACTATCCAAATAAACATTTTGCCTACTTAAAGCGAAATGCCAAATCTTATAGTGGAATCCCCACTTTATCCTCTTCTAAGGAAGGTACCCTTCTCTACGTCGGTGATGAAAAACCGAAACTATTGGCTACGCAATATTCCTCGGCCTACTCGTTTTAGTCACCGCTGCTCAACAACTGTTTACCTGCACACTACTCTTCTATGGACCAAGTTGAAATTAATCTCGAAATAGTCACTAAGCTCTTTCAAAGTGGACTCGAAATCCTCTCCAGCCCTGGACGGATTGCATCTCAGCTTCCTCAAAACGATAGCTGAGTACGTCGCCGCCCATCTCTGCCAAGTGTTTCGACAATCCCCTGAAGGCGGCTGCTTATAAACAGGCTGGAAAGCAGGTAATGTCCTGCCCAAATACAAGGAGGAAGCCAACAAGACCCAGCCAACTACCGGCCAATATGTCTGACATGAGTCGTATACAACCCATGGAACAAATATACAAGAGCTCACTCCAGCTACACTGTATGCATCTAAATTTCAATATACCTGCTCAACATGGCTTTCGAAGAGCACGCTCATGCATCATTAACTTACTCATCGCTAGGGAACCATGCACAGAAGCCATAGATGCCCAAAAACAGGTTAACGTAATATCCATTAACTTCAGCAAAGCCTTTGATGAGGTTCCACACGTACGAGTGCTACATAAAGTCCAGGGAATTGACATTACAAGAAATCTTCTCTCCTGGAATGCCGATTTCTTAAGAGGTAGGATAACGAGCGTACAAGTGAACCAACCACCTTCCGTTCCAGTGCCTATAACTAGTGGTATTTACTAAGGATCAGTGCCTGAACCGGAGCTCTTCAAACTGTACATGAGCGATCGGCCGACTGCTTGATCTACGCCGATGACTTTAAGCTATGGTCAACAGTATCCAGTATTGAGGATGCAGAAAGATTACAAGGGGCTCTAGACCAGCTACACGAATGGTCCATCGAGTGGGGACTGCCAGTAAACCAAGATATATGCGCTGTTCTATCAATGGGTGGCACTGAACCATACGGTGCATACCACATTGGTTGGTTTCTCCTCAGGAATACCACTCACGGGAGAGATCACGGTGTTATCGTGATTTCTGACTTCAGAAAGAGGCAGGACACGTTTAAGAAGGTGGCCACTGGAAAGAGACTGGTGGATGCCTTAAGAAGATCATTCGCCCGAATGCCTCGTGAGATTTTTCGATCTTTGTTCACCTCGTACGTCCGTCCAGTTTTAGAATATGGTCTACCAGCTAGCCATCCGATTTCAAAGTTTGAAGGCGCTCTGCTGGAAGATCTTTAGAAACGTGCAGCAAAAGCGGTTCTGGGGCTTTGTGATCTCCCGTACCACATTTGCCTCCAGCAGCGAAATCGGTTCTCCCTCGAGCTCCGCCGTCGCCAGGGTGACCTCATCTACACTAGCAGCATCCCCCAAGTGGAACTTAAAAGTGTGTTACAACAATTCTTCAAGACCAACACTGGCTGTTTCACACTAGGTAACACATGGAAACTGGTCAGACAAAGAAGACAAAGAATTTGCATGGGTTTTGCCTTATTCACCAGAGTGGTAAATCATTAGAACAGCCTACCGAAAGAAATTCAAGACGCTCTATCCGAGAAAAGTTTCAAGCGGCTGCTTTACAAACATTCGCTGAGAAGGTTGGAATCTCGCTACTTTCACTGCAATTGCGACGAACCGTCGAGGAACGTCGTAATGCAACGACAAGCATCAAACCCTGTATAATACGGAACCAATGAGGCTGACAAGGGATTTCCCTTCCGCTATCTACAGCACAGTGAACTCATTGAACTCAATCACACTATCTGTTTAAGTGGTAAATGACTGGAACTGCCTACCAGAAAAAATGGTGAATACCTCATCGAAGGAAAGATTCGAGTGGCTGTCAGCAAACCATTCGCTCAGAATGCTAGGATCATGCTGCCCTCACTACAGTTGCGACGAACGCGCAAAAGCGCCGTAAAGCAGTAACACACGTTCAACCCAGAATGAATTGGTAGCGATGGAGCTGACAAGGGTTCCCCCTCCTGCTCTCTACAACTCAATGAACTCAAGTATGCTTGGTGCCATAAACTTGCACCAAGTTTACTGTTCACATGATTTGGTGTGCGAAGTAGGGATACCAAATTAGCTTTGTGCCAAATTGAACTTATCACTATATATTTCCTAGTGCAGAACCTGTCTATGACCTTACTCTTAAAATCAATAATGAACTCCTTTCATAAATAACAAATTTAATGATTGTAGCGATGTAATTTAACTATCTGAAATCTTTTATTGCCGAGTGTGCCAATAAAAAGCATGTAACATAAGATATATAACAAACTAACATGCTGTCAGTTACGCGTAGCGATAGAAACTGGCACAATTCACAGACATTCAACTAATTCCTACCTCAGTAGGTGCACGTTTGGCAATGGGTTCTCCGAGGAATACCGCACGACCGAAGGCATTCCAAGCTCGCGTAAATTTCAGTTGACAACTTAAGTCCGAGCTTTGCTTCTTGGTAGCAATCCCTTCATCAAAACTATGATACGTATCTGGTCCTCGATACTGTGTTTGCATGTCTTGATACTGTTCTTCTTGCTGTTCACCACAATAACTTCTACACAGAGTCAGGCACAATAATAAAACTAAAATCTGACTAAAAAATCTAAACCTCGTGTATGTTGCTTGTGGATCAGGAACAAACTTCGTACATTCTTTGGAACTGAGGTTAATTAAAATAACCTTTCAACGAGGTTTGCAGTAATATTCTAGAGCACATAAACTTTGTTTATACCCTTCATTTGTGAGCTTCAGTATTTTCATTGTGCAGCAAAGAGTCAATATGTGCTATTCTTGTAGTGTTCGTTAACAATGTAGGACGCCCCTACACGTTAACAAGTCATCGCTTTTAATTCCGTGAGCTTTTTGTTGGTAAAGGTCATGTGGATAAAACCTCTTTCTACACAGAAAAACGAAACTGTCATAGCTGTGAAGTAATATACCGCAACGCATAGGCCTAAATTGCTTTACAGAACCCCAAAGCCGTTATCGACCATTTGCACTTTTAATGGAAGATTGTATATTGTTGCGTTTCCTGCGGAATTTCCACTTATCTCCAGTTACTCTATCTTTGCTTCAGTTAAGCAATTTGCAAAGTCCCTAACTATGTTCTGCGTTTAATTTTTGAACGAGGCTGCGTTACTGCGTGCACTTTACGCTTTGTTGACGTTAGACATTGAATCACAATACATTCATAGACTACCCACCTGGTGCTGCAATTCCCTGAGTGAGATATGAGGCGCCCTCTCCGTCGACTCCACCGATTCCTGGCGAAAAACTATGTGGCGTGGATGGTCGACCATGTCGAATAAAAACACCCGTCTAGGCAATGCTTACGCAGCTAGCAGTGTGCTTTGCAGTAAAGTCACCGAATCCTTCTTTACACTTTCATTCGAGCTCACGGTTGATGATCTTGGTTGGTTTAAAGTTTGCGTGACCAAGCTTTTACCATCATGGTTCCCTGACATTACTGTCAGGAAGCTCGTCAGGTTGGGGAACCTTCCTGTTGAACAACCATATACGCGACCCTGCCTGCTTAGGGTGGTTCTCGCCATTCCAGAAGAGCGCAGGGCGTTACCGCTATTTGCCTTCAAGTTCAACGATACCAAGGTTAGTGTGCAACAGGCCCTTCTGTTAGCGGGGAGGTTAAACTCAAAAAAGCCATCGGGGACCTAAAATTCCGACATGCATCTGGCGAGCAAAATATTGGATTGGTGGGTTTTCAAATGTTCAGCAGGCGGTGTTTTTTCGCCCTGCCAGAACCTATTCTACTTGCGCAAGACCCACGGCTGGTCGTACCAAAGTCATCAAAGTAGTACACGGTAACGTGCGCAGCCGGAGGAACTAGAGGTGCTAGGTGTCTGCTAGTAGACAAATCTCGTCCATATGTACTTGCTTTTACAGAAAAGTTGCTGTCTGAGGGAATCACAGATGGCGAAGTATATCTGCCTGGCTACTCACTGGTCCGCACTGAGTACTCCATTGGCCCTCAAGTGTGTTGTTTAGCTCCTTATGTGCGTTATCACACCGACTTATTGAGGACCAACGTTTTTCATCCTCTCGACAAATCTGTCGATGCTCTCACAGTCTTGCTTTGGGCCACCTCGATTCAGGTTACGGTCGGGTTAGTGTATAGAAGCCTTATGCACTCCCCCAATGGAGTAATTGAGTTTATAAGCACTCACAATGAGAACGCGTGTCTGGTGCTGGAAGGCTTCAAGCTCCCAGAAGTTTGTATGGATGATCCATCTTGCATTTCGGCGCTGGAATTGTTCGGTGCCCAAGTGCCGGACTTGACGCTGTAGGTACCACTACACCGGTTCGTGGACCCTCGCACTAGGTACATGCGAAATTAGCAGCCGTTCACGTTAGACCTTATGTTTGCTAAGTGGTTTGATTTTATAAATGACATTACTAACGACTCGCCTCTTGGCGCCAGCGGGCACGTTTGCTTGTCTTTCCAATATACACTTATCAGACCTTGCCAAGCTACTACCAGTTGGTATCCGAACACTCGGGTCTCGAAGTTCCAAGCGACGCGGGGTAAAGCTTGGTCATCGCCTTGAGTGATACCTGAGACCGACGCTGTTCACGAAGCCTGGGAACAACTTAAGGCGCACCTCGTCTACATTTCTCCACCGCACATCAAGTTAGTGAAAAGAAGGGAATCGTGGGCGCAGCCTTCACAGATAGATTCCTCGGGAAGGGTCTGCTAAAGAAGCAGTCTAGATGTTGGCGAGCTATTGAACAGCGCCGTCGAACAGCACCTTTGACAGGTATAGGTTGGTTCGAAATGAGTGCAAGCTACATCTTAGATTGACCCGGCTTCAGTATGAAAAAGGCTTAGCTGGTACTGCTTCGACGAATCCCAAGCAATTCTTCGCCTACCCTAAAAGACTCTGTGGTGCAAACTGGCCTATGCCACAGTAGTTTCAAAGAGATGGCACCCATGCTTATAGCGACTATGACAAGGAATGCGGGCTTTGTAAGCAGTACTCAAGCATCTATATCCGCGCAACAAATACGCCATGCAAAGAACTAGCTTTAAGAGTCTCTGTGGACTCTTGTCTAGATACAATTCCTGTAACTGAGTCTCAAGTTCCCTGGTTGTTAAGAGAGGTGAACACAACTAAGGCTTCCTGGTCAGGTTCTGTTCATCCAAAATTATTGTACGAATTGGCGATACAACTTAGTGGACCACTGATCTGCGTGTTTCAGAGGTCACACAACAGCTGTGTCTTACCTACCGAATGATAGGGGGCTGTTGTCCGCCTGAATTTCATGGGTTGGGACAAAGACCTACCAGCTAATTACAGGCCTATCAGCTCGGTTAACGCGGTCGTAAACTTACTTGAAACCTTAGTAAGAGATGCAGTGGAGAACTATTAGTATAGTGTTAACCTGCTTAGCGTCGAGCAACATGGCTTTCGCAAAGGAATTTTGTGTCAAATGAAATTGCTGGTGGCTCGTGAGAGCTGGGCTGAAGCCGTAGACAATGGACATGCGGTGGATGTGGTTTTCATTGACTTCGTCAAAGCCTTTGACACTGTCCCCCTTCGCGACTCTAACCGAAGTTGATGTCTTGTGGAATACCTGTCTCGCCTTCCAGTATGTGTCAGCTTTGCTGTATGGACGGGAATAGTGTATTCATGTAGGAAGCAGTCTATCGTTTCGACAAGCTGTCTGTTGCGGCTTTCCGCAAGTATCTGGCCTAGGTCCGCTGCTGTTCTCAGTCTATCTGTATGACTTGCCATGGGAGCTTGAGGTACCATCACCCTTATTTGCTGCTTACCTTTATATCCGGAATATTGTTGCTTGCCCTGGTCGTGTGGCTCTCCAACGGGTTCTGTTTAGACTATTGGAATTGCCTGTCTTGTGGTTGCTAGCCATAAACCGGGCAAAGTCTTCAGAGCTGCGTATCGGAGCGTCTGACTCCTCGACGAGTTATGTGCTCGATGGGAGAGCACTGCTTCACGTGACTCAGCAGGTTGCTCCAGGTGCCTTCTACGGTTCTATCGTTCTTTCGGGACCTTAACCGCCAATATATTTGTGAAGTTTTGCTCAGCGTTCGTGCAACCTCACCTAGAACATTGGGTCCAGACCAGTCCACCATGTCTTGTCAGGGAAAAAGTGGAACTAGAAGGAGTTTTGTGTGTCGGTCCCAGGTTGGTGGAGTGGTTACGAGGACAAACGTACTACGAACGCCTCCTTAGTTTGAGGTTGCATGCCATGCACCATCAAAGGATTAACAGGAACCTAATCCTAACCTACAGTATTATGAATAAATAAATAAATAAATAGTATATTCTCGAATTTCCGAGACACACCTGACCAGGCATGATCAACGTTTACAAGCAATTTATGTTTCGCAACAAACACGTTGCTATGTATGTAATCGGCAGCAAGCCGAAAGTTGTCCAAGCTTTGGAAATTATAAAATTAATCTTGAGGTATAAATTCGTCAAAACATGACGACAAGTTGGGTTCTGGTGGGTGTAGTGTAAACAGGCTGGGCATTCCGTTTGTAGAGAAAACTTGTCAGGAAAATATTACATTAGGATTCTGGTCGGCTTGCCGCAGATGTTTTCTTGACAACACTGCGACTTGCCGGATGTGACTCGCCACCGAATAAAGCCACTGCAATTTGCATTACACTGGCAAGGAGCCCAAAGACAAAGAGCGCTAATTCACCTGCATACGCTGACACAGCTGTACGTACCATCCTTGATCATTTTCGATCATTCATTACCAAAAAGCGCCAACCATGCTGCTTCACACTAGATGACTTTACATTTTCACGTTAATGCGTGCAGTCGATCCTGAAGTTGGCGGAACGCCACTGCTTGTCCATTGTTGATCATGCTAGCTTTTTGGTGTTCCTCGAAACATGCAAGATTAATACTTTATTAATTGTTTTATTTGGCTCAAACTGGCGGTTAACGATTGGCGTATACTCGTTACCGACATAATACTGTTAACGCAACTCGCATTTGCAGCTGCATTGCCGGGCAAGCGTGAAGGGTATAAGGTGCGTTCACCTGCAGAAAACGCGTCTGGTATCTCAAACATCCATTGTGTGGAACATATAACAATTGGGAAGTTGCGGTGTGAATTTATCATATTCCATCGGCTTCATCCTGCTTAGGAGTTTTAGGTGGAACTGACCCAGCTGGGAGTGGAAAGCAACACATATTACTTGTCGACCTTTGACATAAAAACTAGGCCATTGAGCTCCGCGAGTAGGGAATGACAATGCGGTTATAAGTTGACCGGGAATTAAAGCATTGACAACACGTCTTGAGATGCGACACGCACTCCCAGTTGTGGTAGTGGCATTATGAGCCGGGCCCGACCCATATGACCACTGGGAACGTCACTGACGTGGTGATTTCCGATATGCTTCCTTTTCATCTCCGCAATCCACCACCGACATCATCATCATCACACACGTTAGCTAGAAATGGGGAACACCTCAGCTACTGTGCCGCAATATACAGAAAAAGGAGAGAAAAAAGCAACTGGTGCGAGCTGGCTGAGCTACCGGTAACGGATGGGCATCGTTCCGGCCAGCTACCAGCCGGCTGCTGTGCACCCAAAAAATTATTATGCAAAACTATATAAGGCTAAATAATAAGATCGTGGTTGGAGGGAAGGCCAAGAGGGATGAAGTGAGACAAAGAAACTCACAGCACGAACGCCACTGAGGTCGGCTCCTAGCCATATCAGCAAGTGTGTCCAACCAAAAGTGTTCATCGTCTTTCGGGCCCCAACTAGGGAGCCGAGACGCTACAGCCGAGGCCAGCTCAGAAGTGAGGGCCTTCATTCCTCTCGA